GGTAGGTTATCTGGGTTAGAAGAACCTGTTGAACCCCCAGCCTGTTTTAGGGGATGAGAGTCTCCACCTGTGGTATCTTCATGTCCTCCTGCAAATGAGCCAGGAGCCTCTGAAAAGATCTTCTGGGACTCTCAGGGAATCTCTGCAGGAAGTGATCAAAATTTCTCTTTTTTATCCAGAGTTCCGTAAGTGGTTTAATGTTTACTGTAGACAACAACATCTTTTCATGTGCAAGTTCCTGCGACCGCGTTAAGATCCAGCTGTGTGAAGTCTGGAGAAGCAAGGAAGCCCCCCACCCCACCCCCCACCCTTCACTCAACGGATGCTCTCTGTAGCTGGATCGGGTTTTGCTGCTCCTGACGGGCCAGAAGGTCCAATAAATTCTGCCTAGCATGACTGGCCTTGTTTCTTTGGGGCCCCCAGGAGACGGTTGAGGCCCAAAGCTCAAGACCCCCCAGTCCCCTTCCTGGCAGGGCTCAGATTTAGGGGGGAGGGTGGCTCTTAGGGGGGACCACCCACTGAGGCTCAGATGCTCTCCTCCCATCCCCCTTACTGGAACCAAAGTGGGGGGGGGGTCCTCAGCACACCTTTCTGGTTGTTGAGTTTCCCAACTAGCAGCTAAACCCCCTACTCTGGGAATTTGGGGGTCCCTCTCAGGAGCCCTGAGATCCTGAAGAAACGGCATCTCGGTTGTCTCTATTTTCTCCATGGAGCTTAATGGGGCTTCAGGATGGGCCCATCAGGGGGGATTTCCTGGCAAACAGTCTCCCCTGGAAGCGAAGCCCAGAAATTAGGGGAGCAGCTAGGAAGATTCAGTCATTGGGAAATATAGAAAAAAAACCATACTTTTCACAATATAGATTTTAAGATATGGGGAGAGGACCTGCCCAATTATCTCGGAAGAGTCTGACCCTGTGGGACCCGAGGAAGTGGACAGGGTCCTGGAGCCTATCAGGGCCGCCACCTGTCAGTCATATCAGAGGTCCCCAACTCCCGCTCTGCAGCCCGTTCGGAACTGGGCCACAGAAGTGGACAAGCACTCCCATGAAGTTGCATTTGTGACAGTGGGATGCCTGCACATGTGAAACCATCCCTTCTGCTCCCCCCCCCAATCGCCACTGGTCTGCCGAGCCGGAAGGGTTGGGGACCCGAGTTAGACCCTCGTCCCTCCTGGATGGAGAAAGTGTCCAGGGCTTGGACTATCGGCTGGCTCCAGGCAGTGATTGACAGGCAGCTTGACGGACCGTCTCACCCCACTGGGGTTGGCCCCTCCTACCTGTGCTGGCAGAGGGCACCTGGGAATTGCAGCATCTGGATGGTTTTCATCCATCCATCCATTCATATCCAAATTTTAATTGTAATTTTTGCAAATAACTCAAGGTGGGGAACATGGATGTAAGGAGAAATTTCCTGACAGTGAGAACAATCAGCCAGTGGAACTTCTGCCTTGCCTCCAGAAGTTGTGGGTGTTTCAACACTGGAGGTTTTTAAGAAGAGATTGGGCAACTATTTGTCTGGAATGATATGGAGTTTCCTGCTTGAGCAGGGGGTTGGACTAGAAGACCTGCAAGGTCTATTCCTATTTTCTTGTTCTGTTATATCTGTGGGATTCGTCGTCTAGTTGAAATCAATAATCACCTGCCAAAAACTTCCAAGAGAAAACAATGGTGATTTATTTGTACTCAGGGTGTTCCTCAGGCACGCAGGCAGACCGGACACACCCTAAATCATCAATACTCTTCTTTAGGTTCCCTATTGCCACCCCAAATTTACCTCCCACCTCTTCTTCATTGGCTTAGTAATCCTGCTGTGATCAGGCCGTCACAACCTATCCAAAGGTCCTTAAGGGAATACATGATCTCCGCCCCTGATTAAATCCCCCACTCCCCTAGTTCTATCGACCCTGGCCCGTATTGATGAATTCCCCTTTATGGCTGTTAGTCCCTAGGGGTTATCTCTAGACTAGAGTAACTATCATATCAGCAAATTCCGGTTCGGACCGGTTTTCAGCGCAGTAGAGAGCTTCCTAGATGCAATTCTCAAGCTTCGGCTCGGTTCCTGAGATTGGAATAGACAAATGTATTTGCTCCACAGGCTGGCATGTCTTCTTCCAGGCCTGTAAAAAGAATAAGCTCTTTTCCCCACACATGCAACACACCTTCCTCTTATTTTCCCCAACAACCCTGCGAGGTAGGTTGGGCTGAGGGAGAATGTCTAGCCCAAAGTCACCCGGCTGGCTTTTCATTCACAAGGTGAGACTAGAACTCCCCGTTGCCTGGTGATTGGCCCAAAGTCACCTTTCCTCGCTTTCCTGGCTAAGGCAGGACTAGAACTCCCCGTTGCCTGCGGAGTGGGGGGGGTGTGAGCCAGGACATGCGGTTGCGCTTGATTGGTTGGAAAATGCTGGCAATCTGGACTCTGCCTGAGGCAATCTGTGTTGTGATTGGTTGCCCAGGGTGTGGAGGGGGCAGTTCCATGTTTTCCCGCCTTTTTTCTTCTGTGTGCCCTTTGGTGCTCTGAAATTTACCTCAGGATGCTCCTGTTTGCCCGACTATCTTGTCTGCTGCAAATATAGATGTAAATAAGGTGACCAATCGTCCTCCTTTAGGGAGGACAGTCCTTCTTTTGTAAGTTCTGTCCTCTCTCGAAAGGTATTTTTTTTTTATTATTTTATTATTAATTGCATTTATATCCCGCCCTTCTCCTTTCGGACTCAGGGCGGCTGACAAATGATAAAAAGCTAACATACATACATATTACACCTAATTAAAATTTAATTAAAACGAAATATTTGACAGTGTCCAATTAAAAGTAATTAAAACCCCTATAAAATCCCCTAGGCCAGTCCCGCTTGCTGGAACAACCACGT